TGTAGAGACTATTTTCATTTGGATTTTCTGATATATATAAATACACTTGGGAGAGAAAAAACAGCATATTTATGAAAAAGTTGACAGGGACCAGCTTGCGATTGTTTTGAGACTGCACTGCCTTAAAGATGGACAACACCCACTGTTCTCTTACTCTACAACTGAAGAAACACTATATATTTATACTCTATTTAACAGGAATTAAACATCTTATCTCTTGTTTGTGTTATCAGGCTCTCAAAAAAGAACTTTTTAGTTCACTTTGCACAAAAGGGTCTTGTCTCTAAAAATCTGCAGCACTGGAAGCAAGGGTAAAGAACATAATGTCCATGGCTGGTGTCTGCTGCAGGTTAGGATAGAAACCAAATCTTGTGGAAGTCTCAATATATTGAGAAACCCAATTGTTTGGCCAACACCTGAGTATAAATAAATGTATATATAATATACATACAGCATAATACACAAACAAATATGAGAGTATTACACAATTTAAAATTTAGCTACCAAAGTTTTCATTAGAAATCCTTTTAAACCCAGAATTATTGTAATACCTCTATTATTAAGCAACTCCCACATAAGAAAGGGTAAACAACATAGTGGGAAAAGTAGTAGAGAAAGAAAGAGGAACTTGATTTGTGTCTTGCTTCTCCGTCTACTAGCTAGCTGAACGACCCTTCCTAAGTCAAGCAGGATCAGGTTCCACATCTATAAAACAACAGGCCAGAATCTGATCATTCTCTAAGACCCCATAAAAATTCTCTACCAGTAATTTTTTTTCTTAAGTTCACTTTAAGGAGGAAATAAGGATATAAGAAAATCTCTCACATATTACATTAGATGTTTATCTAAGAGACAGGTGCCAAACAAACAAATACAAAATTAAAAAAAAAAAAATACTAAGGCAAAGAGAAACTTTAACTCACCAGATTCCATCTGTTACATTTGAATTCATGCATAATTGATTATCCATGACTGGTAAGTTCTTTTCTCACTAGCCAGCCACAGTTTTCTAAACATTACATATTAAATAAATCACTACTAAAGTAGACTACATTTCAGAAACAGCAAGGGGCAGAATAAGAATATTTTAAATGAAAAATTACATGCCGGTTAATAATAATACAGCTGACCTATGTTAAGGGAGAGAAATTTTAATCATGTGCATATTAAATATTAATAACCTATTCTGTTATTGTTATAATAAGGTTAAGTAGGCTTCCCCATGCTCAAGGAAAGAGAGAGAAGTAGGAATACATAATGGTGCAAAAAAATAGAAAGACAGGAGACAGACATAAGGAAAATGTGTCAACAATAAACAAGAGGAAATGAGAAAGAAGGAAAAGACGAAGGTGGAAACTAATCTCTCTGTGTCATTATGATGCCAGAGTACTGGCAAAGAAGCAGCATCCTTTTATTTCAATTTTAATCATTTCTGAATTTTAATACCCGGCTCCTTTTGTAATTCTCCTGGCATTCCCCATATGCCTCCATTCCAGCCAAAACACCAGTGTAAATTAAATGGCAGGCAACCACACCACTGATGCAGCCTCCCCAAAGAATCTACCAGGTGACCAAACACAGAAAAGGTATGTCTACCTTACATCCCTGAGGACTTCTAGCCAATTAACTGGCTGAATGGTCTCTACTTTCTTTAATTTTGAAAAGACGGACAGTACTTAGGTAATCTACAGATAGAGAATCATTTTTAAAAAATAAATAAATAAAGCAAGCCAGTAGTAATACAATAATCAGTGACCATCAGGGCCTGGAAAAATGAGTTTGCTTTCACTGGCACTAAGGAGCATCACATGATTATTTAATTACAGCTCTAATTTTTGTCTCGTGGATGGCAACATATCAACAATTAATAGGGCAAATAGAGGAGACCATTTTTAAAGAGACAGAATGTGCATGATAATGTAATAGGTCACACAGCAGTGTACCTCACTTAAGGAGTACTTTCCTTTATATCAACTACAGGGCTGTCCTGCAAACAGCCCACATATTTAAAAAAAAAAAAAAATTAAAAGAAGTGTCTTTTGTAGGATAAATTTCATAGAATGCCCAGAACTTTTGAGAATGTTTTCAATAGAGCTAACACAACCCTACAGCAATTCTAGTGTTAATTTTAAGGAATGGAGTTAAATCTTCACTCATGTAAACACCCTAATTCTTAGAATTTTAAAAAATAATGATGCAACTATAATGAAAAAATGTCTTTTTATCCAGCAATCAATGCTGGTACTTATTCAATAGGGTCTTGAAAAAAATCTTTTGAACAGTGAGAGGTCAATTGGCCTTGGGCCACTTAGTCCTAGTATTTTTTCTTCTGGAATATCAGAAAGGCTATTCGATGGTGGCCAACCACAAGGACCTCAGAGAAATGCTCTGTGTTAACACCAGTACAGTTTGTTACCACAACCAAACACCAAAGGACCATGAACCTGCACAGACACTTAACCTAATGCTGAAGGTCAGACGAGGAGGATAATAAAACAGAAAATCTCAATGCTACAGTCAGAAAGTGACACAAAGCACCAGTTAAAGATGAAAAACATTCAATTAAACAGAAAATCGGGGCATATGTAGATGAAGTGTTCAGATAACAACAACAAAAAAAACCCCACAAACTCACTGCTGTCCAGTCAACTTGACTCATAGTGACTCCTTGGGTTTCCGAGGCAGTATTTCTACAGAAGTAGATTGCCCAATCTTCCTTCTGAGGAGTGGCTGGTGGGTTTGAACCACCCGCCTTCTGGTTAGAAGTCAAATGCCTTAGACACTACACCACCAGAGCTCCCAGATAGCTCCAGAATAAAAAGAAAATATGCCAATAAAACAGCAACGACTAAATTCACCATCTTATTCATTTACAAATTCTTTAATGAGCGCTTACTATGCACAAGGCACAGAATGTTAACTGCAAAGTTTCCCCTATTTTATGTAATACAGACATGTATCTTACACTTAATTTACTGTGCTGCAGTTTAATAATTTACAGAAATTAAAAACAACAGCACCTACAAGCTCTACAAAGACACTGGGAATACCATGTTAGAAGGTTATGAGGTTCACATATCCAAATTCATCCTAGGAATTTAAACAGCTAATCAATTAGGTGGGAGCTCTGGTAGCATAGTGCCCAAGGCACTTGACTGCTAACCGGAAGGCTGGAGGTTCAAACCCACCAGCCACTCCTTGGAAGGAAGGTTGGGCAATCCTACTTCCGTAGTGATACTACCTCGGAAACCCAAGGAGGGGTTGCTATGAGTCGGGGCCCGACTCGATGACACCTAACAACATCAATCAATTAGGTAGAATTGTCTAAGTTAAGTTTAAGTACATCTAGTTTCTGTCAGTCCTTACTTTGCCATGCCATAAGACAAAGCAAAAGCCGTGGTCTGTGATTTGGACAATGAAATAATCTTATGGCTACCGCTGTGATCAACTGCTCAAATGGATCTTAAGTGTTAGGCTACACAGAATTATAAAGAAACATAATTTGGCTAAAGAAACAGTGACTAAGATGATTCTACAAAAAGAAGAAGTATTGGAAGGTGTTGAATCAATTCAATAAGGTTTTTATGGTTTATTCTGGCCAAAGGCATCAGAAAACAAGAAAATGTAGGCATCTCAAAATACAGTGTGGGAATGCAAAAACCACTGAGCGCAACAATTTCTAATGCCTCTGACAAAAGTGACTTAGCTAATACTCACTAATTACAAAGAAAGAAAAAAGAACAGAAAGAAAATTGTGTATCTCACTGAAAATTTTAAATTTAAATTGCATTACGCGGAAACCCTTGATAATTCTGGACCAAAAATCTTACTCTATACATCCTAAAGGAATTTTTTAAAAAGAGTCCAGCAAGTAGCAGCTTGTAGGTAAGAGTATACATCACTCTTTTTTTTAACATAATTGTCAATATACAGTTAACATGTCTCAGAAAAGGCTGTAATTAACTGTCTACTGCTCTAATAACACTAATAACAGTACAATTATTAAAACACAATGACTCCATACAAACTAAGGCTATCATTTTTAAACTTTTAAGCTAATGTTCTAAATTGTTTGTGAGTTTCTTAAACCACACAAAAGGGAGCCAACCTCTAAGAATTTTTTTTGAAAGCATAGTTATTAAAACATTGTTCTTTGCTATGAGTCAGGAGAAAGCTAATATTAAACAGCACATCTCAATATGCATTTCAGTTGATGAAAATACAAGGGAAAACACTGAGATTATTTTATAAATTGTACAAATTCTTTTAAAATTTAAAACTGTAAGCATTTCAACTGAGTACTTCATTCAATGATAAAATACTTCCTGGGAGAAAAGTCTGCTGTATCAAGAATCCCACAGCCTTATTGTTAATCCCAAATGATGTCCATTGTCTGGTTCACTGAAATAGGAAAACTCAGCTGAATTCAACATCAGCTTAGTATGGATACCCTATATTCAAGACTATCACTAGTCCAAAAGATACCTGCATATACTAGGTTCTATTTTATTTATAATAATTATTACAATAAAATATTTACAACACAAAACATCTTTTACCTTTAAGTCCTTAACATTATAGACATTAAAAGGCCAAATTGTTGTTTACATGCTCTCAATGTAACAGCATATCCGAAACCATTGAGTAAGACTAGAAAGGAACCTCTAGCAATCAACGCCACTATATACCTTGCTTCCAGGAAAATTGCATCTAAAGAATTCCCCCTCACACAGAGTACTGATTACCTTTTTTAAGTAACTTAAGGGAAGAAGGTTTAATCATTTCTCCTGGGAACCTGCTACCATCTCATAACCCCAAAAAAGAACATCTACTGAAGAATTTTTCTTGGTATCTGGTCCCAAATCATCTGTAGTTGAGAAATAGCAGCTTCCCAACAAAGACCTCCCTTCCCCTCACCACCATCACCAAATGCCTGTCTTTCATTGTGTGACCTTGGTTCCCCATATGGAACTGACTGTAGGAACTTTTTTGGCACTTACCCTCCAAATATCAGCAGCTGCTCTCAGAAGCTAGCTCTACAGGAGAGCTCTCAAAAAGTAGTCTTTGATGAGGTGACAATGATAAAGTTCTCCCTGGCACCACTAGCAAGGCAGAAGCATCCCCAAATGAGGTGGTTACCAGTTCCCTGTGAAACAGCTGGACCATTACTGCAGTTCTGAAGGTGCGTCACAAATCAGGTCATAGCTCTGGATAGAGTCCACCCACTTCACCCAGTGCAACACCATCTACTTCCTGCACACCTGGGGGGAAGGGCTACAGAGGAGCCCCCCCCCACACACACACACACACTACCACCACAGAACCGTAGACATTTTAGTACAGGCACAACCAGGTGCAGACTGACAAATACTTCTTCTGCAAACATTTCAGTCTTATTTGGGTGACCTGCACCCCTAGGTATTCAAAAATGCATGCAATATTAAGCGGGCTCTTAGAGGAGTGATGAATGTAATAAAACACTTCACAGCTAAATGTTTTATCCAGCAATCTCTTTCCCTCACTGGAAACCTGAACAAGTCTTAATTTCTGACTCCAGGATAGTTTTCTACTAAATGTTAAATAACTGGACTGAATAAATTTTAGTAGAAACTAAAGACATAAATGCTGGGGTACCAGTTACCTAACTTCGATCTCTTGTAACTAAACTAGATCACAGCATAAACTGAATTACATTCTTGAAAATCCATTGAAAGAGGTGATTAGAATTTCTATTACAAATCTTCAGACAGCAACAACTGTGGAAGTGATACAGAGTAACTTGAAAGAATAAAAATAGGCCAACATGCTAGAGAAAGGCTACACTACTGAATCTCACCCTGAATACATATACATATACAATATATCTATTTACTCTGAAATATCTGATCTTAAAAAAAGACTTTAGAAAAATAAACAGCAAAAGGCACAAATGGCGTAAGTTCAAAAGTACTAAATAATGTGTGTTAATGTGTTGATCACATAGATCTATGAAGACATCAAGTTTAAACAGACTTACCATTGAGAATAGCACTTAGGAACGATATATAAATTACCATAGTAGACACTTTTTCTATGGTACAATGAAGGAGAAGAACGTTGTGTAACAGATTTGATTTATATGCTGTATTAAGACGACATTCTGCTCTGATGTCAATGGAATATGTGATTAGCAATTGACAACTGCATGTAGACACAGTATAAGAGCTACTTATAGAATATAAGGAAAACAAGCATTTTCTCAGAAGTTAATTGTTACTTTTTATATTCAGCTTTAACCATATTTTAAAGTTTCAAGGAGTATTAGAAGAGAACAGACTTTTAATTAAAATACAAAACAACAAATCCATTTTAATTATTTGTCATAATAAAGTAAAAATCTCCTTTATCATAAGGTTGGCAAATTAACAAGACAACAAATGAAAATGGTAAGATTATCAAGGAAAAGCAACAGTATCAATCAAGCAGTCAATGAATCCTACTATGTACTCATATTTGTAGATCGCCATTAAAAACTGAAACATTCTATCTAAGATTTGGAAGAGAAGATACTTTATCAAAGTTATTATCTAAGAAATCAAATACTTTAAGTAATGTGTTTGGAACTTTGTAGAACGCTAATTTAGCAAACACACACTTGAATGTGTTTGAACGTATTTGTCCTGAGGTTGCTCCAAGGATGACTATTCTCAGTGGCATGCAGATTCTTTTTGGATTTTGATGTTATAGTTGAGGTATGCAAAGTAAAAGTGCATAACATTTCTTTCAACTGGTTCTCACACGACAGAAATGAGAAGATGAAATTCTTTCTGTTTAAAGTTTTGCTACTGGGGAATGATAAGAAAACCTTCTCCTGACCCCTACCCCCAACCAGGAAGAGTCTGAAGCCCTGGATTACAGCACAGGTAGATATTAAAATGGAGACAGAGCCGTTATTTAGTGGTGACAGGAATATAAATACGTGCACTAACCTATAAACTGGTATTTACTTCAGGAAGGTAAGTAATATTTTTCCTCTGATTGCTGAGCTGTCAGTTTAATGCAGCGTAAATAAACAGTAGGTGCCTGCTAGCTCGAAGTAGGAAGCGTTCATTCCACAAGAGGAACAGATTACTGAAGCCTGATGCTCATCATGCTGAAACACAACTTTCATTTTACCAGAAAATATACCCTACCGTGGATGGTTTCTCGTGCTTGATCTATTAATTAACTTAACTCTGTCCTGTCAAAATGTAAACCATTTTGTAAGAATCTTCTCAGAGGTTTGGAGTTCGAAAGCTAAATAAATTTGAAAAGCAAGAGTAATGATTGTCCTGCAATCTGAACACAAAAGCTAAAAATCAATACTTAATATAATATGTGTAAGCTCCAAAACCAAAAAAGATAAAGAACCACTTAAATAGCATACAATTAAATAGTCTGAGTTATTTAATTTACTCAAAATTCTCATTTGCTAATTAAAAGCATATGGCACCCTTAATATTTTGCAACCTTGTACTACCGGGATCTGTTCAAGACGCTTGTTTATTCTGCTCTCTGAAATATCTAAAGGTAAAGCAATCATAAAACTCAAATCACACTTCTTCCAATAGAGATATTACTGAATTCTCCTGAGAGAAGCAGCGAGTTTGAAGATCAAATGATGATATTCTTCCTAACACCGTTCATGCAGAATGTGGTTTTCTTCCCATTTTATGTATGCTACAAAGCTATGATAGTATATAGCAACTAATTTTGTCCTAATACACAATTATTGGTGAAAATATTTCACAACATCATTTGAAAGGGGGGCCCATCTAAAAAAGTATAAATGATAATTTGGGGTGGTTTCTATTTAAAACATGAATAAAAAACTGGTAATTAATGGACTAGAAAGGAAAAAAGAGGGGTTTGAAAATGAACGTTTTGCATTAAACTGCAACATATCTAGACATAGTCTGAAGATAGAGTCAGTCATACGCATTTATTTTATATACTTCATCAATCACAAGTACTAATGTAATATAAATTATAGCCCTCCAAAATAACATATATGGAAGAAATGATGTGTTGTGTAAAGGGCATATCTATGTATGGCCCTTTTGGAAATTTACAGAGCAGGTGAAAAACCACTAGAGTGCTTTATAGAGTCCCTGCTGTACATCCATGTTGTGTTTAGCTTAATAGTGTTTGTAACCAAAAGATTTTTACAATAATGAGGAACAGGTGCCTGTCACCTGACCTTTTAGGCCTAATTTACAATCCACAACCTGTCACATGAAAAAAAAAAATTATTCAAAATCTCCTCCAGATATTTTAGTCTTAGCTAATTTAATGTAGGCTTTCTTAACCATCACTCAGCATTTTCATATCTTATATAATCAGGTTCATGTAGCTGACAACAGACTTCTTTGCAGAAATAAACCAACATTCATTTTGTTGTTGCTCTTGTATAAGATCCAGGGAGACAAAAGAGCTACTTTTGTCGATTATCAACCAAAGAATATATAAATTTATTAAAACAACTGAACAAAAGGCATTCCTTTTAAATACTTTTACATACAAAGAACTATTATTTATTACATATTTCAGCTTGTGGGAAAATGAGGAATGCATTGATTCTGTAAATAACTATTCAGACTTTTGGAAGTTTTTTAGGTCTTCTTTCTCTACCCCTCCCCTTCCGCCCCTCACACACACAAATACAAACTCCATTTTTAAGGAACTAGTCCTTTAGGAAGGAAATTCCTATTTGTTCATTTTTCACCCATCATTTGTATTCATTATTCAGAAAGGAATATAAAATTGAACAGTTATTTTATTTCTCTTGTATAATCTTGTTACATCTACCTATATTCAAAGTCAACAATGCTTTGTATTTCATAGGTACGGTTTACTTATGCATCACATATGACTGAACAACTCTACATTTAAAATACTGTTTCCATTAGAAAATAATATGAAGCAGTAAGTGTCAAATGGGGATCAGGAATAAACATGCTTGGTATATTTATAAAATGCACAGTCATTTAGAATGTGCAGAATAGGATAGATATTTTACTAGTGTTATGTTTTACATAGTATACACATGGTCTAAAGTGTATTTAATAATGTGCCTAACCAAGTTAAAGTATTTATGTCTAGTGATTATGTTAAATACTTGGAGAGGTAGTGAAAGATACAGCCAGTTACTTCTGCTAACTAAAGTTGAAATTATGCACTTATTATAACCTTTTCTAACAATGTGAGAAAAACAGAGTAAATATATTAAATTTGTTTCACAACAGATGCTTAGGTTGTTAATATTTAAGATGCCTATTCATGCTATTCCTGTCTGCACATTTGTCAAAAATGTAAGCTTGAATGCTAATGTTTGCCAGCAGACTGGAGCAGCCAGTATATGAATGTACTACTGTTCTACTAAAATAATATGCAATGGAAATAAAGGGCTGCTGCTAAATCATAGCACTAGGACCAAACAGCAGATTAAAGGTTTTAAAGCAAACACCTGAACCTTGGCTTTCTCCAGTCTTAAAGTACGTTTATTTTTTTGTAGCTACATTTTACTGTATAGAATGAATTCCACGTTCCTGACAGCTCAGAAAAATCCACTTTAAAGAGGATGTAATTTTCAATAAAGTTTCAACGGGATGAGTTACTCCATCAGCAGCAAAACACACTGTGGATTCCAGGAACTGCTCAGGACAAAACCTGACACCGTGCGGTCGCGTTTTACCCATTCTCACCCCCTTTCTCTGTCCTCTAGGGAAAGCCAGGTCCCTTTGGCCTCCCAGGATGCAGGCACAGAACCCTAACAAGTAGGGACAGAGAGACTCTCTCCGGGGAATAGAGCGTCTTTTGGTATCCCCTGTCTCCTTTACAACCATGTGGAGTCCAAATCCCACATTTGCTTGGATATCCGGAATGCCACTGGGAAAGTTCACGAAGGAAGGGTGCAGAGGTCAAAGTTGCCAACCAGGGCACTTTGAGAGGCGACTCGGTGGTTAACACTTATAAGCAAAATGTGCAACGCTCTGGGGGAAGCTGGGGTCAAAACTACCCGAAACAGCCCTGCGTCCTTCTCCCCTCAGTTTCCTGGGGTCAGGCTCAAAGACTTTTTATTCAATTCTTTTCCCAGGGAAGCGCGCGTCACTCCTGGACCTGCCACCTGCCAGTTTCGTCCCTTACACCGCAGTCTCCCAAACTCACTCTCTGTCGCCCAAGAAGCTTCAG